TGGATGCATTATCTCAATTCTGGAACTCATGTAAAATTACTTTTCTCTCATGGCCACGACAGCCCCCCCCNCTGAACATACTCCTCCACCTTACTCCAAACCTTATCCTTTTTCTTACTCTAGAATTTATCACTATCTTTCTCTGAACATACTCCTCCACCTTACTCCAAACCTTATCCTTTTTCTTACTCTAGAATTTATCACTATCTTTCTCTGAACATACTCCTCCACCTTACTCCAAACCTTATCCTTTTTCTTACTCTAGAATTTATCACTATCTTTCTCTGAACATACTCCTCCACCTTACTCCAAACCTTATCCTTTTTCTTACTCTAGAATTTATCACTATCTTTCTCTGAACATACTCCTCCACCTTACTCCAAACCTTATCCTTTTTCTTACTCTAGAATTTATCACTATCTTTCTCTGAACATACTCCTCCACCTTACTCCAAACCTTATCCTTTTTCTTACTCTAGAATTTATCACTATCTTTCTCTGAACATACTCCTCCACCTTACTCCAAACCTTATCCTTTTTCTTACTCTAGAATTTATCACTATCTTTCTCTGAACATACTCCTCCACCTTACTCCAAACCTTATCCTTTTCCTTACTCTAGAATTTATCACTATCTTTCTCTGAACATACTCCTTCTCCTTTCTCCAAACCTTATCCTTTTTCTTACTCTAGAATTTATCACCTGTAGTCTCGGGAGTCAGTTTTCACAAAAATTATTTTATTTTTCCACACCCAATTATACACCCATTAAAACAGGGCTAAAGTTATACAACCCAGGGTAGGCAACCAAATAATTCATAAGATTTTTTTCCAAAAGAGGATGCAGAGATTTTAGAGAAGGTGGTAGGGAGCTACATTCCTCCCACCCTCACCTCTCCCATTGTTTTAAAATCAAATTGTTTAAATTAAAATTCTAAATACACACAGCTCAGTTCCGATTCATAAATAGAGCAGACTGCTGACTAAATACAAGGGAAGCTCCTATCAATATTAAAATAGACAATTTAAAGAAAATTATCAAAAGAGAAATGTTGCTTTGAAAATGGAGGATGTTTGAAAAACCAATATTCCTTGGTCGGAATTTGAAAAAAAGGTTTTGATAATTTGATTTGTACATTTTCACCTTTTTTGTCTGTTAGTTTTTGATTTGTTAATTTGGGAGTTTAACTTTACCAAGAATAAGCAAGACCAATATATGTATGCATATACACATATATATTTATCAAAAGTCAAGAGAGAGAAGAAAATATTTTTTCCGTTGAATACAATTGTATCGCCATTTTTGTGAAAATACGGGATTCTTTGACGATAATTTCGAAGATCGAAAAAATATAATTCTATAAAAAAACGGAAAATAACAGAAGAAACATTCTTTTTTATTAATTTTCTTTTTTTAAAGACTATGGCTTCAATTTTGAGGTATTAATCTAATTATTAGTAAGCACATCATATACTCCATTACTGAATAAACTGTTCAAAGTTAAATTGATCTCTAAAGTTTGGAGAGTGTAAACAATTGGTTTTGCCAACTATATAGTTTGCCAATAGTTCGTTAAGATATAATGATCTCTACCTCTTCTCTATATTTTCCATTTTCAAGTTTTATCCAAGGTATAAAGATTACCTAGTTTACTTGTAGTTTCATCGAAGGTTTGAAGATTACTTTGTTCAATTGTAGTTTCATCCAAGGGTTCAAGATTACTTTGTTCAATTGTAGTTTCATCCAAGGTTTCAAGATTAATTTTTTCAATTGTAGTTTCATCCAAGGTTTCAAGATTAATTTTTTCAATTGTAGTTTCATCCAAGGTTTCAAGATTATTTTGTTCAATTGTAGTTTCATCCAAGGTTTCAAGATTATTTTGTTTAATTGTAGTTTCATCCAAGGTTTCAAGATTATTTGTTTAATTGGTTTGGTTTGGTAAAAACATGGCACAATTCTGAATGTGTAACTACAGATGTGTACTGATCCTTATTCTTTATACTTCTTATTCTTTTTCTTTTTAATATTATTATTCTATTTTCAACTTTTCTTTATACTTTTTTAGATTTAGATTCCTCTCCTTACTTCATACATCTCGGAAACCTATTCTTTCCTTATATAACTCGTCCTATACTCTGAGCCTTAACCTTCTTCCATATAAAAACGAATATAACTCGTCCTTTACTCTGAGCCTTAACCTTCTTCCATATAAAAATGAACATAACTCGTCCTTTACTCTGAGCCTTTACCTTCTGCCATATAAAAATGAATATAACTCGTCCTTTACTCTGAGTAAGGAACCTTTTATTAATACAAAATTTATATATTTTTTATCTGAACCTTTTATTTCTCCTGAAATCTAAACCGTATACTTTTTCATTTTCTTCGTCAGATGATTCTCCTCATTCCTAATCTTATCGGACTCTTTATTTTAGAACTTATTCTTTTCCTGGAAAAGGAATCTAACTTTTTACTCCGATCCTTGACCTTTTAAACTTTATCATTCTCCTTACGCCGAATCTTATTTTACTCCTGAGCTCAAACTTCTTCTTACTCTAAACCTAATTCTTATCTTAATAATAACCTTTATCCTTCTCCTCACTCCACATCTTATCCTGCTCCTTACTCCAGAGCTTATATTTATTCTTACTCTAAACCTTTTCCTTCTCATTATCCAAATTTTATCCCTTCCTCCTTCCTCCTTACTCCTTCTACTAATCTATAACTTCTGAACCATACTCAGTACCTAATGCTTATCCCTACTCTGAACCTGTTACTTATCCTTATTCTAAACCTCATCTTTCTCCTTCCTATAGAAGTGATCTTCTTTCTACTTTAAATCTAATCCTTCTCTTACTCCAAACCTTATCCTTTTCCTTACTCCAGAATTTATCACTATCTTTCTCTGAACATACTCCTTCTCCTTACTCCAAACCTTATCCTTTTCCTTACTCTAGAATTTATCACTATCTTTCTCTGAACATACTCCTCCTCCTTACTCCAAACCTTATCCTTTTTCTTACTCCAGAATTTATCACTATCTTTCTCTGAACATACTCCTCCTCCTTACTCCAAACCTTATCCTTTTCCTTACTCTAGAATTTATCACTATATTTCTCTGAACCTAATCCTTTTCCTTACTCCAAACCTTATCCTTTTTCTTACTCCAGAATTAATCTACTTCTTTCTCTGAACATAATCCTTACCTTTACTCCAAACCTTATCCTTTTCCTTACTCTAGAATTTATCACTATCTTTCTCTGAACATACTCCGTCTCCTTACTCCTAACCTTATCCTTTTTCTTACTCTAGAATTTATCACTATCTTTCTCTGAACATACTCCTCCACCTTACTCCAAACCTTATCCTTTTCCTTACTCTAGAATTTATCACTATCTTTCTCTGAACCTAATCCTTACCTTTACTCCTAACCTAATCCGTCTCCTTACTCTGAACATTATCTTATTCCTACTCTTTTCCTAAAACTCAATTACTTCATAATAGGATCTAATCCTTATCATTACTCCGAACCAAATTATTCTCCTTAAACTCTATTACTTCATAATCTGAACCTAATCCTTATCATTACTCCGAACCTAATTCTTCTTAAACTCTATTACTTCATAATATAAACCTAATCCTTATCATTACTACGAACCTAATTCTTCTACTTAAACTATATTACTTGATAATCTGAACCTAATCCTTATCATTACTCCGAGCCTAAACCTTCTACTTCATAATATGAACCTAATCCTTATCATTACTCCGAACCACATTCTTCTACTTAAACACTATTACTTCATAATCTAAACCTAATCCTTATCATTACTACGAACCTAATTCTTCTCCATAAACTCTTTTACTTCATAATCTGAACCTATTCCTTATCATTACTCCGAACCTAATTTTTTTTTACTCCTTCTACTTGCGCTAGCCATTTTCTTCTTCTTAATGTTAACCATATCTTTCTTCTTAGTACTCTGAACCTTATCTTTATATTATTCCGACCCTTATCCTTTTCCTTATAATCCAGATATTACATTTTTTACTCTGCACCTACTCCTTATCCTAACTCCAAATCGTATCCTTTTCCTTACTCTAGACCTTGCTATACTTCTGTCTCATCTCATACTAAATTATCCCCAATTCCAATTCTAAACCCTATCCCATTAAACCTCGTCGTTTCTTAACTTTCCATTTAAACTTGCTCTTTACCTTTCCCATTTCCAACCTTGGAATTTGTTTTGGCTCCTTCTAACCATTGTAATTTTGTAAGAAATTTGAGATTCACTGAGCATACCACGTTCCTTTAACCTCAATTCATTAAAGTTTGACAATTTGGTTGTATAATGTATTGTCTGTTGAACCATAGTGTGTGTCTGTTAAGAATATGTGGCCGGGAAACCTGCGCCAAAGTTTGTATAGGCGGCATACTGCAGTCCACTCTAGACCATATAGCACACAGGTGCCCAGTACCTTACTCTCATACACTCATAGTGTGTGTTTGTGCATGTGGTTCAACATTTTGTGATATTTTGAGAATGCATAATTGCCATGTCTGATTCCACACCTTGTCCGTAAAATTAGGCGGAAATAGGCTGAACCCGAGTTGTGCACCCTACTCCGGAAATTGGGCTTGAAATCTCAACAGTTGGAACCAGAGCCTAGGGAAGGAGAGACGTGAAATAAACTCTCTTCGTTGCTCTCTCTCCCATCCGCTCTCTCAATTAAGACACAAGATCGTGAGCTAAAGCTTTGAATAGGTCAGGGCACATGTGCATAGTAATAGCAATCCAATAATTAGAGATCAGGAGATCTTCCATCCTAGGTTCAGTTAAATACCAGGATCCTACGTGATATGAGCTTTTAAACATGGAAGGAAGAGAATACACAGAATATCTAAACTGTCCCAGCCCTCAGTACAGTAGGGGTCAGTATTCTCAGTACACATACTCACAACAATATTGGGGTGTGGCGGGGCGAGGGGCGTGGCCGGTAGAAGAGGGGTAGGAAGGAGGAGAGGATACGGAGGCCGATGAATGCGTTCATGGTGTGGGCCAAGGTTGAGAGAAAAAGGATGGCGGATGAGAATCCAGATCTTCATAATGCTGATCTCTCAAAGATGTTGGGTGAGTTGTATTTCATTTTTAAAATTTTTTATTAGCTTTTTCATAAGATAATGAATTCTCTTTAAACTTTTTGTTGAATAATAATGATGAAAGGAAAAGAAAGGGCCGACAAGATTTGCAAAAAAAACCAAGATTTAGTTAGATAACGCGGGAATATCCTAAATTTTTAGTATTAAACCTTTCAAAGTTTAAACTTTATAATATTTCTTTTCTTTAGACTATTTGATCCTTTTAATATTTAATCCTAAATCCTTCAATCTCTCATCCTTACAATCTTATTTTCGCAGTTTAAATCAAATATGAAATAAAAATGTTAAATGTGTTTCGCTAGATAGGGGTCTTTCAAGTTTTATAAAATACTATTATAAATATAATATTAAATTATTAGAATAAAATAGAGACTCTATTTAAAAATAAAATCATTATATCTTTTTTAAAAAAATTTGTTTTAAATCTTTACAGACAATATTTTCTTGATCTAAACTTTATCTTTTTTTCTGATCTTTCGTTTTATTTTTCTTCCTTATACATTTAAGTTAAATCTTCTTGAACCTTCTCTCTCTATTTCCTGTAAATCTTTATCCTTTTCCGGTCCTGGGTTCTACCAGGGAACCCGGAGTCAAGATTTCTTCCTGGACCAGGATTCTTTTATTAACGGAGCAAGACCAATTCTTTGTAAAGATCCTGGTTTAAGATCAACCAGAAATATCACTATGCAAGTTTAAAACTAGAATTTTCATTTTTAAATCCGTGAAAATATATTCATTTTTTTCCACTCCAAACTAATAAAGATGTCTAATGATATTCTACAATTTTTATCAAAGAAATAATTAAAACATAAAACCAATTTATTGATTAGTAAATAATATACTTTTTTCTTTTTACGATAAATTTTTGTTGGGAATGTGACAGAAAAAGTTCTTAAATATATTCAATAAAGTATATCGACACATCTGGCGTAGTATTTTCTGCATAATCGATTTCTAATAAACGATATATTTAATATATACTTGAAAAATCAATAGCAATATACATGGAAAACATATACGTTTATCTCAATTAAATAAAATCTTTCTGAAGCTCATAAAACATTCTTATTTAAGTGCTTTATTAAAAGATATTTTTAGAAGATATTAAAAGTATTTTAGAAGATATTAAAAGTATTTTAGAAGATATTTAAAATATATTTTAGTAGGTTTTATACTTTTAGTAAATATCTTTTGGTGATCTAATGAAAGACATTTTAGGATATATTGAATTTAGAAGTTTTTTTAGGAAATGTGAAGGAAGGTAAAAAAAATTATATTTAAAAATATTATGGAAGTTTTTCTGTCGGATACCTAGACAATCTAAATACAACTTTACATACTTTATTCATGAATTTATTATTGTAGCCTCAGCTAAAAAATCAGTTCTTTTAATTTCAAATTTCCCCGCCCCCCTCCGCTCCGACCCTTCACAGTCGTACAGTACATGCACTCTGAATTACCATTATGTACAATGTATTCTGTTAAACTGTAAATTTGACATTAGTCAACTGTACGGTTTATCTTCTCAGTTTTACAAGTTTCATGTCGTGTCTTCATTAACTGTACAGTAACTTTGTACAGCAATGCATGTACATTGTACAGTGAACAGCATATTATTTCATGTACTCTACTAAACTGTAATACCCCCCCCCCTCTTACACTTCTTAAAATCAGCTCACATTCTCTTTACCATACCCAACCCCCCTTACCCTACGTAAACCTTTTATTCGCTCAAACCCCCCTCCTCCCCTACTTTAAACACGTTCTTGGTTGAGCAAAGCCTTTAATTGAAGATTTCACACCAGGATCTCTATTCTCCGACTCCTCCTTTAATTGAAGATTTCACACCAGGATCTCTATTCTCCGACTCCGAACCATGATTTAAATATTTATTTTTACATCGTAAATAATTTGTAATATATTCACCACCGGGATTCGAGAAGCAATATTTTTAACTGGCGNACCCCTGCATGGTTAAAGATAAAAATGAAAATAAGTGTTTGCAACGGAAAACCTAAGCCCCGTGACAAAATTCCCAGAGTTAGGAGAATTTTCCCAATATGCCAAGCATTGGATTTAAAAACCAAGATTTAAATCCATTTACTAAATCTTTGTTTGTTTAAATATTCTCATCCTTAAAGGAAAAAGCGTAGTAATTTCAATTTTTTCATTTAAAGGGAGTGAGTGGCTATGTAAGGTAGTTTAACTGAGGTAGACTACCTACCGGTCACTCCCTTTAAAGATTTAATAATTCCATACACAGCGTTCGTTACCTTTTCAAACTTATGCTAGCAAATAATTGGACTTATCTTTCTTTTCGATCTGGAAATTGAAAATTTTGAAATGCGATAAAAATGACTTGGGGGGGGGGGGTTATGCAGCATAAGGAAATTGACAGAGAATTGTGCATCGGGCAAGTGTCTCTACAATGAAGGACTATTTAAAATTAAGTGGACAGTCCCTTTTCTTGCACCGGTTTCTTAGCTAATTGTTCTCATTACATGTGATTACTGACTGTAAAACAATTTTGAAAGATTTTATTACATTTATGCGTAGCAAATGTCTCCTTGTATAACAATACAAAATGCTTTACATAAGTCATCATTTATATACATATTACGTAAACATGATGTTTGTCTTTAATAGTGTTTAAAGTAAAATCATTTATCGAAAACAAAATAATCTAATTTTTAAATTTACTTTTGTTAATGTTTCCTATAAAAAATATATTCACATATAAACTTTGAAAATTTACATTTATGTGTTGTAACAAAATATATTATCTATATCAAAAGCTTAAGTTAAACTTTATTAATCAAATCAAATTTTTATTTTATAACTTTACATATATTACCGTAGGCATTGAACCCCTTTGTGTCCTCCTTTCTAGCTCTCTCTACTAGAGACAGTGAAAATTTTGCAGACTAGCTTTTTAATGAATATGATTACTCGTATCGTAATATCTTTGAAACCTGATGTTGTAGATCTTTAATCTTTCAAATTATGAATCCTGCAATTGATAAAAAAGTTTGAAATGTTAAAGGTTTGCAGCATCAAGATCAGGATCAAGATATAGGAATTTGAATATTCGATTTTGTATTTTCTTGTTAAAACTAATAAAAATTATTTAGTTGTCAAAAATTTACATTTGTTCATTCTCTTTTAGCCATCCTTGTACAATACCATTGATTGTGTGCGTTGAGTGTAACAATTGAAATGATCTATATGTTTCTAGATTTGATTGTTATAATTTTAAACTATGACAATACTTTGAAAAGGTGTAAACAGTTGGCCCCCCTCCCCTACAGGTGCCCCCCCCCCTAGTGCAGGTGCCTTTATCCCCCCTTCTCATATTGCCGGGGGGGGGGGGGTACAGGGGAATCAATTTTCGATTATGCGTCACATTGCAAGGTTGAAGAATGCGTATGCGTATTGTCACAAACATTTCAAAATTTAAATATTAATTGAGTTCTAGATTATATAATCTTCTACTTTTAAGTTTTAATCTCAATTTTTTTATTTTCTCGATCATTTATATCAGATCCGTCCAATCCATATCCATCCTCCAAATCCTACAACTCCCAACTCCAAATCCTATAGAACTAATTATCCAACCTTTTCAAATTTATTTATTTCATCAGTTAAAACCTATCATTTTTTTTATTTCCAGTAAAACATTTTAAGTGATTTTAAGGTGCACGATTCCTGGTTTTCTTTCTCCTCTTTCTTCTTTTCTTCTTTTCTTTTTTCCCCTCCTAGCGCGCTCTTCCATTTCTTTTTCCCTATTTCTTACATTTTTTTTCTTATCTTCTCTCTTTCTTTTCTTTTCCCTCTTTCTTAGATTTTTTTCTTTTCAATCCTTTTTTTACTAGAAAATGAGCAGAAAAAAAACCAAATTAAAATCTTTTAAAAATTACAAAATATACTTACTCTATCTCAGACTGATGATAATAGTGCATGCTTAGATTTAGAACTGCCCTGGTTCATTAGAAACCTAAATTATGATATTTCAACTTCAAAGCCTTCATTCTCTGCCTGCCTGCATGAATGAAGGCCGAAAGAGAACTTAATGCATCTTATATCAATGAAAACTCCGATTGAATAATTAGAAATTACGAATTTTTTCTCAAAAATTCTAAAAACTTAAAATGCTATAAATTATGTTGGTTTAAATAAAGCTAAACCAAAATAAAGTAAAAAATGTCATGAAAATTATAAATTTGTTCCAAAAGAGATTATTTACCAAGCTGATAAGATACGAGACTTTTTTATTAACTTTTTCAGAAACCTTTGTACATACAACGTACAATTATGATAAGATTTAATGGAAAGATATAACATTCGATATTACATATCCTTCTTTATAAAGTCATTATTTTCCTCTACTGGGGCAATGTTATAGTTGTAAGGAAATTGATCATTAATTACATATCATGATTAGTGCCTGGCTATAAGGCCCGGCCGAGGCCTGGGAAAAACCTGCCTTCGCCAAATTTTGTATTTAAAATGTCCTCGCCTGCCCTTCCTTTACAGTGCACACTGTTTCCTTGATTTTTTACGCCAAGCATTTCCTCGAGATATTTAGCGGATTTTGTAAATGAGTTTCCAATTGATTTGGGGCGCGTGCCGCTGCTTGACCTCGGGGTGCGCGGTGTCCTGTGATTGGTCGGTTAAAGCGGCGCTTGCACAGGGGTGATGCTGCTGGACCAATGAGGGCCCGGGACGGGTTGATGTGTATAAAGTAGAGCAGAGTTTGGGTAGGTGTGTGTAACTGGGTTGGGTGGAGCCAGCTCATCTAAATTCTTGACTCCGGAGCAAAAAATTTCTCCTTGTCTCTCCAACCAAGATATAAACAATACAAACTCACTTTATACCTTTATACAAACTCGATTTTTAGATATATGAAGAGAAATCAAATTATATTTGCAATTTTGTCCAATATTTACAATAGATTAATATTTTCATTCAAATATTCAATCTCAATCTGAATGGTATTAAATACCAAATTTAAGAAAAATCTTTAATTTAACTATTTTCCAGCTCTCTCCCCCCCCCCCCGGCCCCCCCCCCCCAGATTAGAAGGATGAGAAGAGAAATGTTGTGTGGGTAAAGGTTCTAATTAAGATTGAGCTGAGAGATGTTTAATCCAACCCTGAGAAAAATCAGATATAACATAATTAGAGCTATAGTAGTTCACACACAGACACACACTCTCCACTTTAATCGTCTTTTTCATCAGATTTTAAATTATAATTTTTATTTTACTTCCAACCTCATTTTATCCTCATTTAATTAACTTCTTCCCTTATGTTTACTTCATCACTTTTTAACCTACTTTTTTTTTTCTTTCTTTTACTCTTTCATTTCTTTCCTTTCTATCCTACTTCAATTTTTTGATTTCTTCCCACTTTTCCATGACTTTTTCCCAGTCCTTCTTTTTCAATTCTTTTTCTCATCTTAATTTTTTCTACTTCTCCTCTTTAATTCTGTCTCAGATTATCCTTATTTTCTTTGCAGGATCTTTCTAATTCTTCTACTTTTTACTCATTTATTCCTACTTCAGTCATTCTTTGAATAAAAACTTGGATTCCACTTAATTTTCTTCTTTGAATTTTTATTTTCTAAGGTTTTAATGTTTCTTCCAAGTTCCTTGTTTTTTTTTGCGTCATTTTAAAAATCGGAGGTTTAAAGGGACAATAGACGTAATTTCAAGTGACTCTGCATTTCAGTTAGAAAACAAAGGATATCTTCGTCGTTGTTGACCTAAAAAGGTTTAATGGGTACTATTGTGAATGGTAAATGCCATGTTAAAAACGAATGATCACTGAAAAATTATCTCTACACACCTTTTACTATATATAAATATGAAAGCTGTGAATATATATTTCTCAAGTTCAATGTTGAACTATTGTCTTACTTAGTGCAGTGTCAGACAATGGAACATTAAACTTTATACACGTGCAGTAGTGCAGTACAACCATTTATATATAAGCATGTAACATTAGTGCAGTACAGCATTATATATATATATATGTGCATTTGCAGCAGTACAACATTTATGCAGTACAACAATATATATATGCAAAAATATCCCATTTTTCACAAATCAAAATATTTTTATTTTATTTGTTTTTCAGGTAAGAAATGGAAGAGTTTGACCCCAAGCGAAAGAGCTCCATGTGTTCAGGAGGCTGAGAGACTGAGACTTAAGCATATGCAGGTTAGCACCCCCTCCCCCTTTATTCCCTGTTCCCTACCCCTCCCCTGACACCCTGGTTTACCTACAGCACAGTATAAGGTTGTAGGGTGAGATCTCAATCTAAGTTTTATCCTCTTCATCCTTGTAATAGTATACAGTTACTGTTCTCCTCACATTAGATCTAATAAACCTTCTTTGTATCAGACAACATTAACAGATACTACTAGTACTTTACACTGTACAGACAACATTAAAAGATACTACTAGTACTTTACACTGTACATACAACATTAACAGATACTACTAGTACTTTACACTGTACAGACAACATTAACAGATACTACTAGTACTTTACACTGTACAGACAACATTAACAGATACTACTAGTACTTTACACTGTACAGACAAAATTAACAGATATATAGTACTTTGCACTGTACAGACAACATTAAGGGATGGAAATATATTTCAACTTAAAGTTATCAAAACTTACGGATGTTGAAAAAGAGGAGGTATAAAGAAAAAGAAGCAAGGGGAGGGGGGGAATGAAGTAAAGAGGGAAAGGGGTAGAGGTGGACGAAAAATGAAAGACGATTAAAGAAGACTCAGAACGAACGAGGGAGTAGAAAGGGAGGTGGATGTATATCATATCAATTTTATTATTTGAAGATTATTAAGAATTCACTGCACACAGAAACTGTATGACCGTGGATCTGATACAAGACAACAATCGATCACAGTAGAAAAATTCTCCCTAGATATCTTGTTCAGATCTTTAAACATGGATCGCTGGGATCTCAAGCTAAAAACTATCGTTTAAATCTCTACGGTCAATTGGGGCCGCTTAACTAATACACCGGTCTCAATACGGGTTTGAAAAATTGACAATTTTAATCTAAGATTAGAGATAGGAAGAAAGGGAGGGGTATATGAGAAGTAAGAACTCGAATATTGTGCTCTACCCTTCTCAAAATTGAACCAGGATCATTTTTCATGTGTAAGATAAATCGGATTGGTTTCTAACCTTGCTGTGTTTTTATCCAAGAGTGTTCCGGGTGTTAGAGCTTGTTATTCCGTCCTGGAAAAAACTCTAGATAAGTTTCTAACTCCGTATACAATTTATGAACGACTTCTTGGCTCCTGGGCTTAGTGCGGCCTTATTTTCCAAGAGTTGGTGGAGAGTGTGGTGGAGAAGGGAGAGGAGGGGGAGGAGGGGGAGGAGGGAGAGCGGGGGGTGTTGGGGGAGGGCTGGGAAACGACGACAGTTGAAAAATCATGCAATAAAGCCTGGGTAAAGACTGTAAACGTCTGGTAAAGATAAACCTAAACAAATATACAATCTGACCCCGGGACAGAATAAAATGCCGAGACAAATACCCCGCTCCCGATACTAATGTTTACTTCTCTGTATTTGACCATAACGTTCCCCTTAACAGACTTTTTGTCAACCTAAAAGGTTTTATCTGTCGAAGAAAATGTCTGCCTGTTCTTATCTAATTTTGCGGTAGTTTTTTTTATATTTGCCAACTGACTTCTGACTGCTACTACTTCGTCTAACTCTGTCTTAAGCTTGCAGTTATTCACTAGTTCTTCAGTTATCCTGGTTCTACTTTTTCATCTAGTTATTCACTAGTTCTTCAGTTATCCTGGTTCTACTTTTTCATCTAGTGTTATCCTGGTTCTACTTTTTCATCTAGTTATTCACTAGTGCTTCAGTTATCCTGGTTCTACTTTTTCATCTAGTTATTCACTAGTTCTTCAGTTATCCTGGTTCTACTTTTTCATCTAGTTGTTCACTAGTTCTTCAGTTATCCTGGTTCTACTTTTTCATCTAGTTATTCAGTAGTTCTTCAGTTATCCTGGTTCTACTTTTTCATCTAGTTATTCACTAGTTCTTTAGTTATCCTGGTTCTACTTTTTCATCTAGTTATTCACTAGTTCTTTAGTTATCCTGGTTCTACTTTCTTTTTTTCTCAATCTTATTATTCTTGACTAATATAATTCCTCTTCGATATCCCTTGATGGTCATACCTTGCATTGATAACTAAAATGAAGGATCAAGCATTTAAACTCAAAGTGCCCACCCTGGATATCAAGATCAATCCTAAGATTAAAGATAATTTCCTATCTTTGATTGCATTGTCTTAATTTTTCTCTTTATTTTGACGTTAGGTTAAAAGGGGTCAAATTAAATGTTTGTCCTAAATCCTTTCATATTTCGGGATAAAAGAAATTTCATTTTGTGAGAGTGTATAATCCAATGTAATGTAACATTCTGCAGATTAATTCTTTATATCAATCCCTACTCTTCTATCTATAATCCAACCCGTTCTCAAATCTTCCTTTTGGTTATTTCTTAAATCCAATTCTTACTCTTGTATCTCTAATCCAACCCGTTCTTAATCTTTTCTCTGTATCTAAACCTAGCTTACGTTTATTTCTTAAATCCGATTCTTACTCTTGTACCTCTAATCCAACCCGTTCTTAATCTTTTCTCTGTGTCTAAACCTAGCTTACTTTTATTTCTTAAATCCGATTCTTACTCTTGTATCTCTAATCCAACCCGTTCTTAATCTTTTCTCTGTATCTGAACCTAGCTTTTTCTCATTTTTGAATCCAATTCTTACTCTTCTATCTCTAGCAAGTTTTTCTTTTTCATGTACATATTTCGCAACTTTAACAGGGTCAAAGCACTTTATCTTTAGCTCGATACTTTAAGTCATCTTTATGTCATTTAATCTATCTAGCTCTTTAATATAAATCGTGATCACTTCTCTTGTTTCTATCGTCCCCCTCTATCTTTTTTTCTTTTTTCTTTGGTCCAAATTTGGTTTCTTTGTAACGATATATCTCCCCTCTTGGTTTTATCTTTTCTTTTCCCATCCCTCCCGCCAGCCTAGTGGGTAGTGGATAAAATTCGACTGAGTCATGGATAGATAGACAGACAGATAGACCGGTAGATAGACAGATAGGTAGACGGTAATAGACGGTGAGACCGACAGATAGATATATACTGTCAACCTCATGGCTTCCATTAGATAGTATCTGGTTTTTGTCGCCCTTTTTGGTCTTGGAAGAATGTATAAGTAGGTTTGATGTTCAAACAACACAGTCCAAACCTAGACTATTAAACTTAGAATTCTTCAATATTAGATAAAATAGTTTTTTGGTGATTTCAAATTTCTGGGAGATGGATTTGAGGGGAGGGGTGTGANGGCTGAGAAAACGTGAGTTCTGTCACAAGCACTGATATGTTTAAAATGCTGTTCACGTCTGACGGAGATATAGAAGCATTTCCGCCATTAAATCACATATAAAAGGTTTCAAGTCGGAGTTTTACATAAATTCTCACTACACACATCAACCTTACTCCTGGAGCACATGTATTTATCTACATAAACCACACTACTAAACCTTACTCCTGGAGAACATACATTTATCTACATAAACCACACTACTAAACCTTACTCCTGGAGAATATACATTTATCTACATATACCACACACATCAACCTTACTCCTGGAGAATATACATTTATCTACATATACCACAGTACTAAACCTTACTCCTGGAGAATATACATTAATCTACATATACCACACTACTGAACCTTACTCCTGGAGAACATACATTTATCTACATACACCACACTACTAAACCTTACTCCTGGAGAATATACATTTATCTACATTTACCACACTACTAAACCTTACTCCTGGAGAATATACATTTATCTACATATACCATATACTACTGAACCTTACTTCTGGAGAATATACATTAATCTACATACATGACACCACACTACTGAACCTAACTCCTGTAGAATATACAATTATCTACATATACCACATTATTAAACCTTACTCCTGGAGAACATACATTTATCTACAATCTACATATAACAAACTACTAAACCTTACTCCTGGAGAACATACATTTATCTACATATACCACACTACTGAATCTTACTCCTGGAGGTTATACATTTATCTGAAAAACTTTTTAACCCAACCATGTTTCCACTGAAATCTGTAACTCTACAAACTCCAACGAAACTAAACCTAACTCTGAACCTGTGTATAGAGCACATGCCCAATTAACCTAAAAGATATTGAACCTTAACTTGGGTTCAAATCCAAGCATTACTTATTCATCGTTTAATAGCCATAAAAGACATTGAAACAAAATGAACCTGAAATTCATGAATTTAAATTTGATTTAATTTAGTCCGGAGCTAGTTTATGATCTAGAATTAAATCTTGCTAATTGTTGGGCTCTAGAATATGTCCTAGGTTTGAATAAATGAATGGGAACATGTAAACCCGCCGAACCTTGAAATTGTCCTATGCGAACTCAAGAGGTTTAGCACGCAATCCTTCTTAACTCCGATATATGTAAAGGACAGGACGGGTCGGAAGGATAGTAGGGATATACAAGATATGATAACTAAACAATGAAGATTTTGGTGGGAATATTTGCAAATATTGTACAGGTTAAACAAATTACTTATATTTGCAGGATTATCCGAACTACAAATACAGACCAAGGAGGAAGAAGAGGGACGGACAGAAGACCGCAACCAACGGAGCAAACAACAACAACAACAACGGGGATAAGGAGTCGGAGATGGATAAACTTGAGAGTAAAAGTGATTCATTATCCTACACATCCAATATATCTCCTCCTCTCTATCAGTCAGAAACTCACCAAACCCTCGGGAGAAACTATACAATCCCAACCCCGGAGTCTTCTCCCTCTTCCTGCACCTCGGACGTGTTCCATCCGTCCCTACAACTCGGATCCGTGCCGATGGGTTTGGAGGGGGTTCGATACACCCTCCCTACCCCTGACGTATCCCCCCTGGATGGTCAGGTTAGACCCCTGGAGTATCCGAACTATCATATCAGTCCTCAAGATAGATTCAACTTCGAGTCCGCTCCACTCCCAGGTATTCATTCATTCATTCATTCATTCATTCATTCATTCATTCATTCATCCTTCCTTTCATCCTTCCTGTATTCATCATTTTTCAATTCATTCAATGATTAATTCATCAAAAAATTCGGACCAAAGCCCCTCCCCGACCCTTTTTCTGAAGTTCTGTTCCATACCTAATATTGAGTGTGTAGAGAGATATTACTTAAATGTTAAGTTTCTCTACTTCTCTTCCTCTACTCCGTCTTCTTAATTATCCGATATATACTACTCCAACATACTCCAACATTATACAAAGTATATTTTACAACCTGGAGAAGATATGAATACAAAAACTTTGACATTTTTATAAGTCCTGTCTAAGCTTTAGAATCTGATATGAGGATGAAACAAGGAGATATGGATAATAACTTTATATAGAGTTGGGAAAGAGTTGGTTAGTTTAGCTGGGGGTAGGATAGGGAGGTTGAGGGGGGCACATTTTTAGTATATGTCACGAACCTCTAAGAAAATATTCCTCAAGTCCATTGTATTCAGTGAAGACTGTACACTGAATTAAACTTAACAGTCTACCAACTCAACTACAGGGTGCATAAGATTTATAGTTCAATACAGTGATAACTAGAAAACTGTAGAACAAGAAGACTACATTAAAACAATACTGAAATGCAATTAATTTTGTTACAAAGCGAGTAGCTTTACTAGTAAGTTTTTAAAATGTTAAGAATTTAAAATTAAGTGAAATAGATCTGTTTTTATACTGCACAATTGCTGTGTCTGTTCACTGGACAAAAAGTCATAACGTGAGTCCAAAAGTCAACTTCCTCTTCCAGAACTTTATGGTTATCACTGTACAGGGTGTATCAGCTTTAAAGTTTGATATAGGGATTAGATTCAACTACAGGGTGCATCAGCTTTATAGTTTAATACTTGAGGGGTAGATTCAACTACAGGGTGCATCAGCTTTATCTATATATAAATTTGGCTTGTCTGTCTGTCTGTTTGTTTGTATCCAATAAACGTCAAAACGGCTGAACCGATCGGGCCCAAATTTTTTGNGATTCAACTACAGGGTGCATCAGCTTTATAGTTTAATACTGGGAGTAGATTCAACTACAGGGTGCATCAGCTTTATAGTTTAATACTGGGAGTAGATTCAACTACAGGGTGCATCAGCTTTATAGTTTAATACTGGGAGTAGATTCAACTACAGGGTGCATCAGCTTTATAGTTTAATACTGGGAGTAGATTCAACTACAGGGTGCATCAGCTTTATAGTTTAATACTGGGAGTAGATTCAACTACAGGGTGCATCAGCTTTATAGTTTAATACTGGGAGTAGATACATCAAATTAGATACAAAATACAAATTACATTTGGTAACTTTGCTGGTTTTTCAAATAGTTCTGGTGGAAATGAATGGTTTCGGCACATATGTTGTATTTAAACCGAACCTTGAAATGGTTCTAATCGATCTCTAAACTGAGCCTCAAGCTATTTCTTCAGATACGCTTAGAAATGTTTGGAAACAGAGTGAATGAGTTCTCTAGTTCTCCGGGTAGGGTTTAGAACACGGATTTAGAGGGGGTAGAAGAGGAAAAAGTATAAGGAATATAATCGTTTCCCGGGAAAGGGTAAACTTGCATAGAATGGGGATTGAGTTTGGAAAAACTTAGATTGAACTAACATATAGTTCTCCGGGTAGGGTATAGAAGAAGAATACTACTAATATACAAGAGGAGAAAGGGTAAGAAGAGTTTAAAAAAAACAAGGTTTAAAGTATAGTTCTCCGGGTATGATTAAGGGCTGTGGAGGGAAAGGTTCACGGAAAAAGATTTCCAGTAGTTCTCCGGATAGGGTTTAACAGATGAATATAGAGAAGGGAGAGAAACCTTTTAAAGAGACAAAGATTTCAATAGTTCTCCAGGGTAAGGTTTAGAACATCTATAGGAGACCTCCCAACCTCAATGATAAACTCATCCGAGCCGGAATTCCAGATCCTCCTAGAATGAGGCCAAAGAGGCTAATACCTGGTATGAAACCTTGTGGTTTAAATTGCCCAACTTATCCCTACATAGAGCCTGGAACAGTTATACAATCCTCTAATACCAGTAAGAAGATTGAGATTAATGGAACTTTCAACTGTAAGACCAGAAATGTAGTTTACTGTATTACATGTGAACAGTGTAAACTACAATATATAGGACAGACAACAAGATCCTTAGATAAAAGAGTGAGAGAACATATTGGTTACATTAAAAATCGTCATACAAACCATGCCTTCAGGAGAACATTTTAACCTTCCTGGACATGAACTCTACCATCTAAAAGTTAGCGTTCTAGAGAAGGTTTGGGACCTTGGGAGAAGTTTACTTGAAGTACGAGAATCTAAATACATTTATAGAGATTTTATGACTGAACTCAGAGGAATGGACAGACAAAATAGTTTTTATTTAATTGTAAACTGTAATTCAGTATTTAAAAAAAGAGTATTGTTTATGAAGGTTTAAATACCCCTCATTAAACAAATATCAGGTTTTCTCCAGTAAGGAATTGGTGTGATACATTTGTATATAGTGTGTTAGGTTAGGAGATAAGGCTTCTTTTTTGGGATTTATTCGTGTTGATACATTACCATTACAAGAGGTCTGGTTTATGTAGCTTTATTGATAGGGTTCCAGAACTTTGTTGAGAACTTGAGATACATACAAATAATAGGGATGCATGTGGAAAACATATGATTATTATTATGCATGTATAGTACTTTTAAAGAAAATAAGGATTTCTTTAGGATGCTTGGAAAGGTTCACAGAGATGTTAGAATAAAATAGAAATAGTTTAAAAGGAAATATTTACCATACGAAAGTGTGTGTCTGTTATTCCAAGATATATTCCTATGGTATGGTTCGTGTTTACACCTGGGGGGTGGCATCTGTAAGATCACACCCCCCACCAGCATTGGCATGACCCCCCTCCCCCTCCCCNGAGTATACATGATATAAAGATAGGACGGAATAATACAGGATTTATCAAGGAACGGAGAATATACAGATGGAATGGAGTTTACATGATATAAAGATAGGACGGAAGAACGCAGGATTTATTTTGGGACGGAGAATATACAGATGGAACGGAGTATACATGATATAAAGATAGGACGGAATAATACAGGATTTATCAAGGAACGGAGAATATACAGATGGAACGGAGTTTACATGATATAAAGATAGGACGGAAGAACACAGGATTTATCTTGGGACGGAGAATATACAGATAGAACGGAGTATGTTGGATATGTAGAGATATTTAGTACGTAATATTCATGTCTTAAATATCCATTAATATCATGAATACTCCGTCCTAAATTTCCATTTACATCATTAATATTTCGTCCGAAATATTAATTAGATTAGGACAGAGTATTCCTGATATATATATATAAAAGATATTTATTACGGAGTTTTCATGATGATTATAGAAACAGGATGCATATAAAGGACAGAGCATAGAACAATTCAACTTTGTTAACATCATGGGAGAACATTTAAAATTTTAAAATTTCGATATAAAAGTGTTGTTTGGAAACTGATATATTATAGTAGCATATTCTGCAAATAATATTCAAGTTTTAATAATTGAATAATATGCTAAGGAAGGTTGGTTGGTATAAACTAGTAGGGTGGGGGGGGGGGGGACTACCACCCACCTTCCATTGTTCTAGTGAATCCAATAGTAAAAACTACTCTCTCCTGTTACGGGCATCAAGGAACAGTAAGATGTGTTACACTATATGTACACGAATGTTGAGTTCAAGTATGGAAGGTTCATTATTTTAGGAGTAAAGTTTATTCTTTTTTGTTTGAGTAAAATTTAGTTTTTATTCTTTCTGATAAAATTCCTATTGGAGAGGAAACATGAAAGATAGTTCAAACATTGGGAGTAATATTTCCAAGCAGCTCAGAAAGATATCAAAGTTAGTTAAAACATTGGGAGTAATATTCCCAAGCAGTTTAGAAAAATATCAAAGTTAGTTAAAACATTGGGAGTAATATTCCCAAGCAGTTTAGAAAGATATAAAAGATAGTTAAAACATTGGGAGTAATATTCCCAAGCAGTTTGGAAAGATATAAAAGATAGTTAAAACATTGGGAGTAATATTCCCAAGCAGTTTAGAAAGATATAAAAGATAGTTAGAACATTGGGAGTAATATTCCCAAGCAGTTTAGAAAGGTATAAAAGATAGTTAGAACTTTGAGAGTAAAGTTACCAAAAAATATGAAGAAAAGAGTTAGCAAGCAGTTTCGAAGGGTTGGGAGTTTTAAAGATAGGGTTTAAGGACGAGAGAGGTTAAAAAAGTTGTTTATATAAAGTTTTTTAAATCTAAAGACGTGAGCTGGATAAAAACATAAGAATTTAGGATTTGAATTAAAGAAGTTTCCAAAATTTATAAATCAATCATATCCACATCTTTTAAAACTCTGAGAATAGCAATTCTTCTAACTTTCCATCTTACTAACTTCTTGGCGTAGTTAAACAATCTAAATGTGTAGTTTAATTTAAACTCGTAATTTTTCTAAATTACTCAGGAGCAGTTTTAATTCCCAGCTCTGGGTATTTAATTAGCTGACACACACGAATTAAAACTTTTAATTATATTCTGCGTTTTAGAAATATTCATTCTTTTTGAAGAGATTAAAAAGTTTTTATGCAATCATGAAATTTTAACTTTTTGGTGAATTGTTTCCTTGTTTACATGATTATGTAATCATTATATCGAAATCTGTCTTTACTTTTAACTATAAAGCTTTATTTAAGGATTTTATGGATTTAAATTTTTTATTTTTATTTTTAGGATTTATGTCGGGTTGTATTGGAATGGATCCGTATGGATCGCCGAGCTCCGGCTCCGGATGGGGTAAAATGGATCCCTACTCTAAGATGGATCCCTACTCTAAGATGGATCCCTACTCTAAGATGGATCCCTACTCTGATCCCTCTTATACTCTTCAACAATCCATCGACTCTAGTCAATATCAGATACACAGGTAAATCCACAATTTAATATAAAAAGACACTTCCCTTAAACTCTTTTTGTTCTAATCCCTATAACTTTGTAACCTGATGTTGTGAAGCTTTTATATTTCAAACTTTAACTATTTTTTGACCTAGCAGAAGTCATAGTTAGAATATCAAATGTCTACACCATCAGGTTGCAAAGACTGCAAGGATTAGAAACTTGGAGTTTGGTGCGTTTGATTTGTCATGTTACGTTCTATTTTGGATTTTGAGAGACCCTATATTCTATCCACTTTTTTTGGGATTCAAATTTCTCCTTCTAACTGGTTGTTTCTCATTTGTTTCATTTTGGATAGTTATATCTTAAAGTTTTGAGTTCGTTTATAAGGAAACCAGGAAGTAATGTTTAAAAATACTTTTTCTTTTTTTAGATTCATTCATTCTCAGATTAGATTAATCCTCGATACTAACTAGATTTTCAATATAAACCATCCTAACATTAATCCTTTTCTATTTGTTTTCCAACCATTAACTTAAAGGGACTGTTTACGTTTTCCAACCATTAACTTAAAGGGACTGTTTACGCTTTCCAACCATTAACTTACAGGGACTGTTTACGTTTTCCAACCATTTGAACTTGGTTGTAAACATAAATCTTTGATATTTCAGATCTTATACTTCCTTTTCTGAATATAAAAAAGAACTGGTTGCAGAGATAAGTTTAATGTCTACTCTGAAGATTGCAATGTTGATTTATTGCAATCAACCAAGATCGGAGATTGCAATAATGATATTTAACTATTTACTGTTCAGGGATACAGTGCTGGGTGGAGACGTAAATGAGAGTTTGAGTTCAACTCTGGCAGGTCTCAGAGAAACTTATTATGATTACAACATGGCCAAACATTCAGAGATATAGTTTATCCTCTTCAACCCTTCTCCTAAACAGATCAAGATTTTGATTCTGGTTGGATCGGAGGAAGGAAGATCTGTTAAACACAAGACTCAAGTAGCTCGGAGAGACTCCTATAGTAGGTGTACACTGTACAGGGTATCTAACTCTAACCTTCACCAAGGTTTACAATTTTCCACTCAAAACATTCCCGTCCACAAGATGGTTTATATTCCAGTGCCCTATAGATCCTGGCTCCCTCATCTTTATGTTATCATTGTACACTGTACAGTACAGTACAGTTAGATTGTACACTGTACAGTACAGTACAGTTAGATTGTACACTGTACAGTATAGTACAGTTAGATTACTGAAATTTATTTTTGCACTTTACTGATCAGAAGACAGCAATGACTAAATTTGAGCAAACTGTACACTGTGTACAGTATTGTCTTTTACTGAAACAGGCTTAAATTCTCTAAACCATATTTCTTTTTACAATGGTACTTTATTATACAATACTTTAGTACTCTCATTTACGGTATTTTACAGTGCTTTATATTGTAGGATTTACTGTGTAGTTACCGTAACTTACTGTACTGTACTGTACTGTAGGTTTATTCTAGTTTAGATTTGTGATTTGAGTTTGTTTGTCAACAATTAGAACTAAGTTTAATTTATCAATATCTGCCAAAAACTTTACCTCTGTTAAAAATTGTATTATACTTATACATATAGTGCATATTTTAGGGAAATAAACTAACTTGAATAATGTAAACAATAAACTTCTACTAGATATTTGGTGCCGTATATTCCGACCTAGATGATTCTAACCTAAAGGTTTTCTGACCTAAATATCGAGTAGTTTGCACGTGTTTTAGGTCGGTTTGGTTGAAAAAAGCTTTAGGTCCGTTTGGCATCCTATGAGAAATATATAGGTTTTCCGACCTAAGATTTAGAGATATATTTAGGTTGGTTGAGCATATATATTAGGTCTGTTTACCAGAAAGTTTAAGTTGGAAGTGACAATTTTAGGTCTGTTAAGCAATATTTTTAGGTTGGTTGTGAAATTTTTTTAGGTCGGATGAGCAATTTTTTTTAGGTCGGATGAGCAATAATTTAAGGTCGGATACGCAATATTTTTAGGTCGGATACACAATTTTTTTAGGTCGGATGAGCAATTTTTTTAGGTCGGATGAGCAATATTTTTAGGTCGGATGAGCAATTTTTTTAGGTCTGATGAGCAATATTCTTAGGTCGAATGAGCAATATTTTTAGGTCGGATGAGCAATTTTTTTAGGTCGGATGAGCAATATTTTTAGGTCGGATGAGCATTATTTTTAGGTCAGATGAGCAATATTTTTAGGTCGGATGAGCAATTTTTTTTAGGACGGATGAGCAATATTTTTAGGTTGTTTTACCAATAATTGCCATAATTGTGAACTGTACCACTACTGTTTCAGTAATGCATAAAATGGGGTTTTTGAGGGGGGCTCAAAACCCGTTGGGGCCTGTACATGCATCTCATATTTAAAACATGGATAAAATTGGTCTTTCCTGGCCGCAGCGCTCGGCCCCCCTAGCCCGTCCTATCCGCAGTGCTTGGCCCAGAATTGAGCTTAACCAAACCTAACCCTAAGACATTTTATTAAAAATTGTTGAATTAAAGGTCTTTCCTGGCTGCAGTGCTCGGCCCCCTAGCCTGTCCTAGCCGCAGCGCTCGGCCCAGAAAGTGTCTTAACCTAATTCCTAACCTAACCCTAAATAAATACTAATTTAATTGAAAATTGTTGTTTTTATGTTTATTTTATATTTAAACATTTTAAAAAAACATTACTCATCAATTATAACCTCTGAAATAAAACTTTTACTCAACCAACCAAAAAATATTGCTCATCCAACCTAAAAATATTAATGCTCATCCGACCTAAAAATATTGCTCAACCGACCTAAAAATATTGCTCCACTGACCTAGTAAAATTGCTCAACCGACCTAAAAAAAAATTCTCAACTGACCTAAAAATATTTCTCATCCGTCCTTAAAATATTGCTCATCCGACCTAGAAATATTGCTCATCCGACCTAAAAAATATTGCTTAACCGACCTAAAAATATTGCTCAACCGACCTAAAAATATTGCTCATTCGACCTAAAAATATTGCTCATCCAATCTAAAAATATTGCTCATCCGACTTAAAAATATTGCTCAACCGACCTAAAGATATTGCTCAACTGACCTAATAAAATTACTCAACCGACCTAAAAAAATTTCTCAACTGACCTAAAAATATTTCTCATCCGACCTTAAAATATTGCTCATCCGACCTAAAAATATTGCTGATCCGACCTAAAAATATTGCTTAACCGACAAAAAATATTGCTCAACCGACCTAAAAATATTGCTCATCCGACCTAAAAATATTGATCATCCGACCTAAAAAATATTGCTCAACCGACCTAAAAAATATTGCTCAACCGACCTAAAATGAATGCTTATCTAACCTAAAATTGTTGCTTTAACCAACCTAAAACATATTCCCAACTGACCTAAAATATATCAATAACCGACCTAAATATATTTCCAATCTTTAGGTCAGTTTGGGAAATCGAACCTACAGATTTTTAGGTCGGAAAAACGTTAGGTCAGAAAAACGTTAGGTTCGTTTCCTCTAGGTTCGATGAGCGGGTACCAGATATTTTGTTTTTGAGTTCTTCACGAGAATTTACTTTGAACGGACTGTTTCATTTGGTGTACTGTCCCTTTTTGGCTTGGTTTAATCTGGATGTGTACTGTACAGCTCCCTCTAGCTGGGTAGATGTCGGCCCGGTTCATCAGCTCGCTCTAGCTGGTTAGATGTCGGCCCGGTTCATCAGCTCGCTCTAGCTGGTTAGATGTTGGCCGGTTCATCAGCTCCCTCTAGCTGGTTGGATGTCGGCCCGGTTCATCAGGTCGCTCTAGCTGGGCAGATGTCGGCCCGGTGCATCAGCTCGCTCTAGCTGGTTAGATGTCGGTTCGGTTCATCAGCTCGCTCTAGCTGATGAATAAATTAATTAACTGAAAACAGATTGGAAAGTGAAGGCTCACTGACTCACGGTGGACTAAGCCAGTGGGGTCGGTCAAATAGGCCTAGGATTAGGCCAGGTACTGTAAAAAGTCTGAACGCGCCATAGAAGTTGTCATTGCTAGCCCTCTCACGAGACTATGCCGAGAAAATTGACCCCTGTCGTATGTTAGTCTGGTTAGGCCGACGTACTGTACCATACGATCGGGTCAGTACACGCTGTTGTCTGGCAGGCCGGTACAAACTGGGCAGGTCCTGTTCGAATTCAAATTTACTACGGGGATAGAGTTTACTATCAAACTGAACATTTGAATCACCATTTTAAACAATTTTAACTAAAAATATCCTTTGTTTAAGGACCAAAAACTCAAAAGTCAAATTTTTATTACAGCACTCTTTAGTTTTTAGTTCGGATAAAAAGTTTAAAATTCATGAACCTTAGATCGGAAGAGATATTTAATGTCAAATATTGGAGCAATATACAGTTTTAACCGTTATTTTTATCTAACTTTTTTCAAATTATCTTTCTTTTCATTTTGCTTCTGCTCCTTAATTTTTTTTTCTCCATCTAGATTTTTTAAAATGTGGTCTACGTGCTTTATTACAATGAATACCAGAAACCAGAATACAAGACTTTACAAAGCTCAGGAGTCGGAATGTATTTAGTTCTTTAAAAAATATAATACTAATCGTTAAAAAAGGAATAAGGTCAATGCCACAAACAAATTTTCAAACTGATATTGAAAACTTAGATTATTTGATCTAACCAAATTTATAGTTTAAAATAGAAAAGATTTACACAAACAGGTTGCAAAGATTTAGGAATGAGAACATTTTAATTTGTGGCAAAGACTCAACTCCTTTAAAACTTTAAAAGTTTAAAACTTCGACGAAGTATTTCTCTAAATCTTTTCTCCATCATTTCAAAACTTTACACCATATATTGTGAAGCTGTAGGTTTCCATGGTTTAAAGCAAACGAATGAACAAATCTTGAAAAGTTTGAAAGAAAACGTGAAGAGAGTTCAGGAGTCGAAATGTATTTAGTTCTGTAAAAATATAATACCAATCGTTACAAAATGAATTAAGTCAATGGCACAACCAGAAATTTCCCAATCCTTATATATTTTCAATCTGATGGTGTAAACCTTTGATATTGAAAACTTAGATTATTTGATCTTACCAAATTTATAGTTTAAAATAGAAAAGATTTACACAAACAGGTTGCACAAATTTTAGGAATGAGAACATTTTAATTTCAACTCCTTTACATATTTAAAAGTTTAAAACTTCGACGAAGTATTTCTCTAAATCTTTTATCCATCATTTTACAACTTTCCACCATATTGTGAAGCTGTAGGTTTCCATGGTTTAAAGCAAACGAATGAACAAATCTTGAAAAGTTTGAAAGAAAATGTGAAGAGAAAATACTGCAGATAAACTATAAAACATTGAGATGGAGCAAATAGTGAATACATCTCGAACTAATCCAGATTTAGCAATCTGGCATTTAGTCAGAGCTGAAAACTTAAGAATTGTGGATATTGAGATCAATGCTTGATCGACTTTTTGGTGAATCTTAAGATTTATTTTATCTTTAGTTGGTATCTTGAAAAGTGTATAAAACGCAACCAATAGAATGGCGTATTCAGAATCATAAACAGCCAATCAGAACCCGTGAAATTTTAAATTTTGCACGTCAATTTATGGGAGAACTCTCATTAGCCGGAATCTGGTAGGGATATCCAAAACGAGAGAAAAAGAGCAATTTATGAGAGAACTGTCATTAGCCGGAATCTGGTAGGGATATCTAAAAAGAGAGAAAAGGAGCAATTAGAATCTGGTAGGGATATCTAACAAAAGAGAAAAAGAGCAATTAATCAGAAAACTCTCATTAGCCGGAATCTGGTAGGGATATCTAAAAAGAGAGAAAAGGAGCAATTAGAATCTGGTAGGGATATCTAAAAAAAGGGAAAAAGAGCAATTAATGACAGAACTTTCATTAGCCGGAATCTGGTAGGGATATCTAAAAAGAGCATAAAATAAAATTTCATAAAATTTCAAGTGTTCACATTAGATGTTCAGATTAAGCAATCGGTAGTAAGGATCAAAGCTCAATAGCTTTTAAGTTTCAGATAATTTTAACCGAATTCTGTTTCTGTTTCTGTTTGGCTAAAAACGTGAATAAACGTCAGATAAATACTCACACATACATCATTCTTTAATGATTTCATACAGTGAGAACCAGAAAACTCTAGAATAGGAAAACGATTTTTAGACTCAAGTAATGACTTTAAATAGTCCAAAGAATACGAGACAAATCAATTGTTCAATGTAAACAGACTCATTTCTCTTAATATGTGATTTAATAAGTACTGGTGAAAATATTTTCCTTTAAAACAACATCAAATATACCATTGCTTTAACATCAAATATACTTAATCATTGCATTAGCATCTTTTTCCTAAACCACAGTTTTCTAATACTCACTGTATAGAGTATAATTAAGTTTTATGGTCGACAAATCCTTCGATCTGTTTCATCAAGATTTAAAGCTGATGAAAATTGTAAAAATAAGCAGATCCACTTTGAAAGTGGCTTCTCAACCGACCTTTTGCAAACGGATTCTTGAAAATTGTTTAGACGATACAAGACATGTAGATCCTTGAGACGATAGATCTTAAAAGGGATTTTCGACATAATTTTAAATAATCTTT